CAGAAATTTGAATGAATAAATCTCATGTGAAGAGAATGCATTTAAATATCTTTAGTTAGAAAAAGAACAAAATGGAGACCGCAAGAGATAAAACACGATTATTATTTTCTAACCTCTATGAGCTTGATGGGCTCAGTGGTGTTTGCCCAGGGAGCAGGGATCTTGTTGCCAGGCCACATGACAGGAACGCCTTGGGCTGAAGGATGATGGTAGAACACAATCACCTGTCAAGAGAAAAAATAAATAAAAGTTGGTGATCAGATGTCTGCAGACAAAAAGACTTCAGGCGAGTTCTGTGATCCATTTTGCAGTGCAAAACATAAAGTACCCAAAAATATACCCCCCCCCCCAAACCAATCACCCTAGCATGGTGAAACACCTGACCTCAAAGTTAGTGAATGATTACAGATAACTGAGCATTCATGGTGGTATCTGCATGTTTCACCCTTACTGGAGATTTAATATTCAGCAGGAAATCTATGTTGTAGCTACGTCATAACCACAAACCCCTCTGAAGCCCTATGCCATGGCCTACGAGGTAACCTCTGCACCTCCCTAGAAACATAAGTACACGTTGGGTCAACACAGTCCACAACTACGACCACAACAATGAGCTGGGAGTGAGCAGGTAAAAAAGTCCCAGCATTTTGGGGGTTTTGTTTCTATCAGCCGTATTCAAAACACTGGGACAGGACCACAAGGTAACACAATTCACCAAACACAAGCACAAACACCAGCAACGATGTGCGCCACTGATGTGTCTACAAAGAGTCCTCGCAGAAGTCTAAATCTGGGCTTATGTGTAACTGGAAAAATATCTGACCAGAACAGTCTTCATCCACAGTGACAGAAGAAAAGTCAGAAGAAGTTTGAGTTGTGGGTTTCTCATAATGCCAAAAAAGAGTGAGGAGGAAAGCTGCCCTTTTCACCTACAAACTGTGCACTTTGTGCTCTACTCTCACTGTCTGCCCTGCACTTCATCTCCTTGTTCTTTGCCAACTAAGCCAGTTACAGATTAGGGTCATGGGAACAGGAATGATAGTATCTGAACATAAACATGCACTGACTGTAGTAATGTAATGCAGACGCAGAAGTACTCACACCTTAGCTGGAGGTAAGAATATGAAAGAGTAATATCGGAGACACCAAAAGACAAAGAAAAATTGAAACGTTTTTAGCTACAAAAATCTGGAAGGATAAATGTAGGTTAGTTTATGAAACAAGTGCTAATAGGATGATACTTGCCACTAATTCTTGCCCTGGAAAATCACAGTTGGAAGGGATTACCTGTGCACAGAGGTCACGCTAACACACCGCTACACGAACACCTGTCTACTCCTTTTACTTGTAGGTGTACACCACATTTCAAAGGTTTGTGGAAGTCACTTAATATGTGCTTTTTATAAATATCAAACTGATTAGAGATAGGGGACCCTGGTGGTTAGCACTGTTGCCTCACACCAAGAAGCTCCTGTTCAAATCCAGCATCTGGTCACAAACTTTGGAGTTTTTATGCTCTCACCATGTCTGAGTGGGTTCTCTCCAGTTAGTGGGTTTAGGTTAATTGGTAACTCTAAATTACACATACCCACCTCTCTGTGATAGTTATGCAACAGTTCCAACCAGGGTGTACCCCTGTTGGAGTCAGAACAACATGTGTGCTTATTACTTGGAGCATCTCACCATGAGTCCAAGTTTTGGGGAAATGGATCAAAAAGATGAAAATCTGTGAAATGTGGTAAAAGTGAAGGTGCTGGAGGACTGCTTGGAGTCACGTGACTTAAGGAGATCATGAAAAAAGAAAAACTATCACTCCATTTTGCAATACCTTGCCATAGCCTGTGACACCACGTACTTGGAACAACTTTCCTCCTCCAAAAGGCCAATGACCCAGACATAACTCCAAATTGCAAGAACTATTTAAGGAATAAGTTAGCTGACTGTCTGCACAGTGAATGAATCTCAGCCCTGCTGAGCTGTCATGGGTGCAGCTTAACACTATAGCCAAAAGAAAAGTACATGAAACCAGTCCCACTAGTGGCAGCGCCCTAATAAGGTGTAGGCTGAAATGTTCCCAGATGACTTCTGTGAAGGCCAAAAGCCTGCAAGGCTATGATTTCTAAAGATGGGAGATTATTGGAAAAAGCAAAGCTGAGTTTTTTGTTTTTTAAATTGTTGTGACTTATTTCTGTTCACTCTGCCACTCATATAATGAATACAAGTATGATATTTCATGAAAACATTTGACAGATACATTTACCTGTTGCTACATACAACAAGCACACAAACATTTTTGCAATAAAGGCCGTCAGTACTGATGCAGTCTGATCGCACCTGGTATTTCTTCTCCCAGAGATAGTCCAGAGTGACGTTCTCCACCGCACAGTTATTGCACAGTTTGCTGCCAAATACTTCTTGGAGCATGCTGATGAGGTAAACGTGGTGCTCTGCCTCCATTGCATAGTAATGGTTAAAGTCCAGGAACACCACCTACATAAATTAAACATCAAACATAATCAGTTAGTAGTGTAAATGTAGCTCATTTATTTACATGTTTTATGTTTAGAAATTTTTAAAATGTGCTTCTCACCTCTTTCCTGTGTCTGCCCAGGAAGGAGCTGATTTCTAACAGGCCATCCCTCACCTTTGTGAGAAAACAGGGTGAAGAGCCAGAGATCAGGATACAAATTTACAAATCTTAAAGTCTCTCAGTCATGAACTGATGCAGAAAGGCTACTGTTCTTTTTAAAAGTCAGCATATTAGAACGCCAAAGAGCAGCTTAAATATTTTAGTGAGTGCGGCACTGCAAAACTCCACCAAAATATTTCACAAAATAAAGGTTAATAGAGTCAAATATCAACCTGTATACAGTTACAGCTGCTAATGCCACTGACATCAGAAAATCTTGAATATGCATTTCTTTATTAAATATTCTTCAGTCACATGGTCAAGTTATGACAGAATCTTTGTAATCAAAGAGTTCCTCGTGTAGGGAAAAGAATCACCCATCTTTATAGCTAAACGTTACCCTCTGATCCTTGCTTAAGGTCATCTCTGCCCACTATTAGCAACATCAACTGCAACACAGTACTAGAAGAAAACAGTTACTGTTCATACTGGGAGAAAATGAAAGCTTGTATTCAAATGTCATTTTAGCATTCTAGGACTGGAGCTGGCACAAAAGCATTCAGCACAGAAGGAAAATATCAGATTGTGACAGATTAAAATGAAAAATGTAACACATAAAAGTAAATGAGGGAGACCAGCTCAACAGTCACAATAACAACCCAAAACGGCAGTAAAAGTTTACTCCTCCGCTCACCTTGTGTCCAAAGAGGCCATGAATGAAGTAGATTTCATTTCCAAGCTCGCCTGGTTTTGCGGACACCCTGAGGTCAAAGTAGCGAATTCCTGCATCCAGCTGCTCCTTAAAGGTCAGGTTCTGGCGACACAGACCACATCACATTATACATAATAAGAAGCTGAGAAACACAGACACTAGACTGTAAAACACAGATCTGAAAAATGTACCATTTAGGCTAATTTGTGTGTGTGTGTGTGTGTGTGTGTGTGTGTGTGTGTGTGTGTGTGTGTGTGTGTGTATTGCAGTGATTTTGAGTCCAGTACCTGTGTCATGGACCACCTCACCATGACTTTCTTGGCTAAGACACTGAACATGGTAGCCAGATACTTAACATAAACCTTTTGATCGGGGCCCACGGGAGCATGCACATCCACCCAAAAAGTGAAAGAGTCGTGAGAGCCTGGAAAAAAGAGGGAGAGCTGCTGCTGGTGATGGAAAATTAAAAATTGAAATCGAAATCAAACAAGAAATCAAGGTGAAAAAAGAGAGGATTCCGTCTGCATCAGTAGGTGATGAAGGAATCAGCAGTGTTTTCCCCCCTGTTATGCTGGGCGTGAGGGTGGGGTTAGGTCTATTTTTAGTCAACATTACCACAGTACATTTTCCTTCTTCCGTTGACTAAATATCTTTACGCTTTGTGGACTCACCTGGCACCGCTAGATGTTTGAGGGGCATGGCACTGAGCTTGGAGGGGAGCGAACCCATCCAGTCGGCATGGACATTGCCGATCCCCGCAGGTCTGGTCTTCATATCGGGAGCCGCCTGTCAGCAATAACTCCCTCAAGAGACTGCTCTCTGGTACTGATGCACTCCTGGTGAAGGATTTCCATGCGCTCCCACCATGTAAAATCTACCATAGGTCATCTTGGACTGTCACGATCGATTTTGCGCTGCTTCGATACGCATGATTTCAAGTCCAACCGGTTTCGTTGCCAAGTATCTGGGAGGAAAACTGTACCTCGTTGTTGTCGGTTGGACTCCAACCGGCAAACCGGCATGCCTTGACAAAGCCAGCGGGCAGCTAACGATCGCCGCAATCCTCTTAGGGTGAAATCCCTCCTCCCCTCCCGGCAGGTTGAACACACTACCGCACTCGGCAAACCATGACATTTAGGACGGGTAGAATGCCACTAAGGCACTAATTAGCTCACTGATCACGTGACTGACCAGGTGACAAATTACATAAGTAACACTTGTAGTCTACTTCAATATTAAAAACCATTTTATTAATTTTTTTGTACGGATGAACTTGTTATGTAATTTGTTTTTTATTATTAGAATATTATTTCCTACACAATAAACACTGAATAAACATTTTTAAACAACCGGTGACATTTTTGTTCCGCTAATGTGAGCTGTAGGCTATGTACATGCCATACGAAGTAGATTTGTACTATCTATGTACACTATGTATCTATGTCACTCTACAATCATACAGCGTCATCTACTGGTGCAGTCCTCGAATTGCGACCAAGTCGTGTTTTTTTTCTCCTTATTCGAAAGAACATTCGTGTTTTGAAAAAGTAGAATAAAATAAAGAAATAAATAATAAAAATCTTGCGTATAGCTCTCACTTTAGTTATCTATTTGTAATTCAAAATATTTTACATTAAAAAGAGTCCACATTGAACAGGCATCCCTAAGTTACGCTAGAAATGTTAGCCTATTTGAATACAGGCTATTAACGCCATACCTCTCAAAGGACAACAAAGACCATAAAGCATTGCGGGCGCCGTCTCCACACTTGGTAGCTACAAGAAGCGTCGCGGTTGTGTGTACGTTTCCATGGGGAGAAATCACGCTCACACGCACGCGCTCACCTTGTAAGAGCTTCGTTCGTTTTATCTGAAGCTATCAGCAGGACAGCAGCCGAGGAAGGGACTACCATGGTGAGTTTAAAAGTGAGGGGAAAAAAGAAGAAGGGACACACAAGAAAGAGTCTGCACTAAATGGTCGAGGAACTGTACTGTTAAGTCTGATATGTCAGCAACAAATGCCAACTCACCTTCTTTTCCCGATAAAATAGCCTGCTTAATATTTTTACATTAAGCAGTCTTAGCTTATAGCTTTAGCTTTAGAGTAAAGGTAGTTGATTCGTTTCATGGAAAGACTGCTAGGGTTGAATGCGTGTGATAGCTGTTAGTTAACCAAAAGTTAAGAATTATGTGAGTAGAAGTATTGGTTTCTTTAACACTGCCTGTAGACGTGAGTTTTTAATATCGTCGACCTTGATTAGCTTTCTAATGTCACGTGGCCTGGATACATCTTAATTCCCTTTAAATCCCTTCACAACAGATCGCCATATGCGACTGAACCCTCCCCTTGTTTTGTTGCTTATTTTTACTCAGTGACAAAATGTGACATTACAGTGTCACATTTTGAAGGTCTTAGTTGTATCATATATTAATATTTTTTGTAATGATTAATATGTTACACTGGTTGCATAATGACTCCTTGAGGAAAAGTCAAATGGCCAGAGCAATTGTTTTCCAGTGTAATTAATTAGGGAGTCCCTATCGCACTAGCTATATAAAACTCTGTGTGCTTATCTCACAGCTTATTTTAAACATTCAAGCCACATTCTACAGAAAACATGTGTGATTATGATCCAGCTGCGCAAACTTGCAACCTACAAAAGAAGATAGCTGTGCGTTATTTCCGAGAAGAACACGCAGTTTGTTAGTTTCATTAAAGTACGCTGCTTAGCACACCTATTAGACCACCACCTGCTAATTTCTAAAATGGTTTTTTATGTTTCTATAATGGTTAATACACTATTACAGAAACATCATTAAACCACACACACTTTAATTAAAATGATCATTTTAATTCTAAATTATAATGATTGTCATTATTCATTCATTTTCAATTTACTGTTTTACAGAAAAACAGGGTGAAATAGCAAAGCACATTATTATTTTTTGAGTAAGATGCCATTTACAATTACAGTTATTTACTTGCATTCATGAAGAGAAAAATTTGTTTTTAGCTTTTGTGTTATGTATGATTAATCTCTGACTTCTCAGAGAAGTCCAGTATGCAGCTAAAATATGTTATATGTTATTTGCCTAATAAATAACAATTTTATTTTTAGGTTTTGGACAGATTTCTAAAAATATTTTTGTGTTTACTTTGTTTTCTTGATGAAATGACAGGTCGTCTAATAAATTTGTTAGGCACTGTATATTAGTTGTAATTGTAAGTTTTTTGGGAGGTCTATATGGCTGAATGTACATCAGGCCAGTGATTACGATGGCCTGTGGCGTCATTCAAATCCTCTTGCCAGGCAGGGTGCTTGGGCAAGGTAGTGGATACCGATAAGCATGATGGTGATGTAACATCCTATTTACATCCCTGTTGGCCTAATCTGACTAGGGTTGGCTTTGTCATCTCCCTTGGGTGGTCATGTTGAAGCCTCTAGTGTGACACACACCTAATCCTACCACTGAGGGAAAAACAAGAAGTGGTCTTAGCATGTCTTTGTTTTCGCATTGTTTAAAAATCCTGGCCGACAAGAGTTTTTTGGCATGCTATTGGATTTATGTGATCTTTTGTGTTTGCGGTTGTATTTATTGCTGACAATTTTTCATGTTTTTCTGTCTCTTGGCTGTTAGTTCAACTGCGTGACCGAGATCCCTACCTTTTTACATGGATCAGTTACTGCAAAATGAGCTTTATTAAACTCCCAGGATTGGCTGACAAAGACAAACATTGGCCAAACTACGATCTTTTCTTTTGGGAAAAAAGAAGTGAATTCTGGCTGATGAAACAAAGACTGAACAATACTTGAAGGAAGAAGGAGGATATTTGATTGATGAATCGGCTGTGTTTTTCTACAGCCCATCTCACACAATAATAAAGTTAGCTGATAAAGAGGCTGATGAAACTGTTTTGAGTAATGATGAATCGCTACACCACCCTGAAGCAGCTGGGTGATGGCACCTATGGCAGTGTGATGATGGGAAGAAGCAATGAGTCTGGAGAGCTTGTAGCCATCAAAAGGTGAGGATGTTGCTCATTCTTTAATTTTTTGGTTGTCTCTCCCTATTCAGCCTTTATAACATATTAATATTATGAGATTTATTGTTGTGGTGTCATGCAGCCCTATATTATGTACATATTTGATCAGCAATGAGTCTTAATAATGTCAAAATAAAATCACAATCTTGTTTGCACTATAGTAGATATATAACTAATGCTAACGTAGATCCCCTATTGCTACCAAAGAGCCTTTATACTCACAAAACATAGTGAAAAATCACATTTCTATCAAGTGTTTGTGTATCTGTTAAAGTTTTTACATGTAGATGTTGATTTTTTATTACATTTTTTTTCAAATTTGTGATGCAGAAAGAAATTGTTCCCTTTGAAATCAAAATATGACTGTTTTCATTTTACATCACAGCCTTTTTCTTTGTTGTTCTCTTTAATGTTTGTTGTGACACTACGAAACAGATGTGCTGTAAAGTTAGAAACCCCTGACCTGCCATCACCAGGACAAACAAACTACATTGCTTTGTTTCAGCAACATAGCAGCAGTGTTCAATAATAGATGCGAAACTGGGGACGTGCGTCCACTGGTTGATCATTTGGTTACCATGCAAGACAATACATGTGGTGACGGTGAAAGAGAGTGAAAGTAGAGGGGTGTGTCAGGTTGCTGACATTGTGGATAGATATCGGCTCATTCTGTAACTCTTATGTAATTCCAGAAGAAAGGACAAGTAATGTTGATCAGAGAACCCAAGCGTATAACAGGAGGTGTGTTGTTTTAAACAAACACACATTGGATAACAGTGAAAAAGCAGAGTAGGTCATCAGAATCAGAATATGTTTTCATTTTAATTTAAGTACAGAAAAATCTTGATTAGAATATTTATCACATTACATTCATCACTTTTCCAAGTTACTGATGGAGATGCACAGAGGAGTCTTGTAAATGCTGTAATAAGTAATAATAATGTTTATTAATAGATATGGCCTGAAAAGATTACATATATGATGATCTGATAATAAGATGTATACATTCCTTAATGGTCTTCCATAGAATGAAGAGGAAGTTTTATTCATGGGAGGAATGTATGAACCTAAGAGAAGTAAAGGTAAGCATGGTAATATTAATACACCTGTTTGAAGCACCTTATAACAGCATTACTCGCAGACCACTGTTGCATAGATTGACCAATAGATAGATATGTTCACGCAAATGTAAATTGTCAAAATGTATAAGAGTACAATGGAAAATTAAAAGGTGGCATTCCACTACTACATTGTTAATGCATTAAGAAAATCATTGATTGAATGCACTCACTGGCCACTTGAGGTATAGCGCCTTCAAAAAAGTGCTAGAAGCATTCCTCAGAGATTTTGGTCCATATTGACATGATAGTGTCACAGATCATGCAGTCTGGCTTTTCACATATGACCAATAATTCCCAGAGAACTGCCAAATATTTCCTCTTTCTGACCTTTCTCTGTAAACTCTGTAGATGGCTATATGGGAAACCCCCCGGAGATGAACACTTTCTGAAATACTCAGATCAATCCATCTGGCACCAACAACCATGCCACGTTCAAAGTCACTTAAATCACCTTTCTTCCCCATTCTGATGCTCAGTCTGAACTTCAGCATTGAGTTCCTGCTATGGGACTGGCTGATTAGGTATTTGTGTTAACTATAGGCTGAACAAGTTTACCTTATAAAGTGAGCTGTGTTGAGTATAAATCAACAGCTAATAGAAGCCAGGGCTTACACACTTAAATGAAGCCAAGGAAGAGCAATTCTTGTTATAACCATGCACCAGTGGAAGTTGCTACACTTCATCAATTAGTACATTAACTATTTTGATATCTGTATTAAAAGTGTTCTTGTTATATACGAAAATTTTCGCATTACATGAGACAGTTTTTCTTATCTTTCCAAACATGCGTCACCCCAGTCGCTGAAGAAGCTGAACCACGCGAACGTGGTGAAACTAAAAGAGGTTATTAGAGAGAATGACCATCTCTACTTTGTCTTTGAGTACATGAAGGAGAACTTGTACCAGCTTATGAAGGACAGGTAAGAAAAGAAAAATCATGTTTCACAATACAAATGTTTGAAGAATTTGTTTAACACAGTTGTGTAGTGTCATTGCCAATTGGCCCACACACTGATTAACACCAGATTGATCTGATAGGCTCTAATGGTTGTTATTTAAGTCTGTCAATATCATCCTCTAAAAGCTTTGCAAGTCCTCTATATCAGGCTCTCTCTTGCAAACAGCTGCCACCTTCTCTGGGAGATGCCCTGATGTTTTTGTTAGTGTGAAAACCTCCTACAGTGCAAACTTGAGGTTTTTTATTTGCAAAAGCAAATAAGTCAAAAAGACATTTAATGTTTTAAAGCTGCTCAGATTTGTGGTCAAATATATTTATTTTACCGATTACTGTATAATGTAAGAAAGAATGGTGTTAATGTTATGTTGCTTTCATTAACTGGCTCATGGGAGGTATATCGATTTTATGTTTACAGAAAAAAATTGTTCCCTGAGTCAGTGATAAGAAACATAAGCTTTCAGATTTTGCAAGGCCTGTCGTTTATTCACAAACATGGTAGGTGTACTGTGTTTTCTTCATGACCTGAAAGCGTACGAGAGTGTGGGTTCATACTGCAAGATTCACTGACCATTTCAACTGTCAAAGGCATGTCAATATTTAAGAATCTCGCAAGCAAACAAGGCCATCATACATTAAATTATTTCAATCAACGATCAAAAACTCTTGTAGTATGTGAACCCTCCATAAATGCCTTGCTTCAACACTTGTTTTACTTACTGGTCTGTATCACTGCTGTGTAAAGAATGGATGTATGGATGACTTATTCTATGCATGCACACTAAAAAGCACTCTAAACATTTGACTCTGATTTTTTTTTAATCAGGCATGGTGTGATCAGCTAAGCAAAAGAAAAAGACCCTGGTCATACAAACCTTTGCATGTTTTAATGTGCACATGTGCTTCCATATATCCAAAATGCAGACTTTTCCACTTTTCTTTCTCTTAACACTTTGATTTCTCTTCTCTTCCATCTTTCCTTCCTTTTCTATCTGTTTGCTGTTAGAGAGAATAAAATGTTCTCAGAGAATGAAATTAGAAACATCATGTTTCAAGTGCTGTCTGGGTTGGCTTTTGTACATAAACATGGTAAGAAGCTTTCCTTGGTCATCCTTTTACTCATTCAACAGTAGATTAACCTGTAGTTTGTCAGTTTGGGTGTATGTGATATTTAAAAAGTCTTGTGGCCCTTGGGTAGACCAAAAGTATTATATTGCACATGCATGTGTGTGTGCTATGTTCTCTATTGCTAAAAGGTATGTCCTTGTATTTTCTTAGTTGTTTTCTGTAGCAGCGCAGTCCAAAATGTATTTTATTATGACATCAAACTTTATAACTCCTTCAGCTACACTCGATTAATCAAGAGTCATTTGGTTTTGTTTTACTTAAATGGGTGTCAGTGTAAATCACATTTGGATTATATGCCATTGTTGCTACTGCATTTAAAATCTTCCATCATAGGAAAATATTTTGCATCAGCAGAGTACATTTTTAGTAACATGACATGGACTGCCTTTTTTTCAACATCTGCACGAGTAATTTTAATATTTAATGTTACTCCAAATTACACTGTTATTGTGTGACAGCTGCCGTACTGAAGCACTGTAGCCCTGGTACTTGTATATTTAAAATGATGATGTTGAAATACATTGAGCTCTGAATACAAATGCCTGTTAATGTTACAGGTGAGGCAAACATTCACCCATTCACAAGTAGTTCTGTCTGAATTATGAATAACATTTTTATGTATTAGATTTAGAATACCAGGAAATAGTGCCAGTCTGTTGTCATGATTTGAGTGGAGTCTATTAATGTAGCTAAAAGTTTGATATAAACCTTTGTACAGGTTTCTTCCATCGAGACATGAAGCCAGAGAATTTGTTGTGCATGGGTCCAGAACTGGTCAAAATAGCAGATTTTGGACTGGCCAGAGAGATCCGCTCCAAACCTCCCTACACAGACTATGTATCAACGAGATGGTGAGAGGAATTTCCACACAGTGGTACACTTTTAAGATAGAAAAGAAAGCACTGGTTAGAGTGAGCTAAGCTAAAGTTAACATGATGGTTTTTATGCTTTTTTCATTGGACCATATGGCCATGTATTTTTACACTGACTTTTACAAGCTGTTTATCTAACTGCTCTTGACTGTCTGTCAAGGTACCGAGCTCCGGAGGTCCTGCTCAGGTCATCTACCTACAGCTCTCCCATTGACTTGTGGGCTGTGGGCTGCATCATGGCCGAATTGTACACACTCAGACCTCTTTTCCCTGGGAACAGTGAAGTAGACGAGATATTTAAGATCTGCCAAGTCCTGGGCACCGTCAAAAAGGTGAGACCAAGGTGAAAGGAGAGAGGTGAGAATGCTTGAGCTCAGTCGGTGAGCTTATTTCATGTGTTCAATCATTAATACTCTAAACTTATCAAGTGCTGAATTTAACTGAAACATTATTCCTAAAGATGAAATATCTATACTTAGTGTAGTTAAATCACATTAGAATAAATAATATGCAAGCCTACTTAGTTCTCTAAGGTCTAAAGAGTTTTAAGTGTGGTTCATGCTGAACAAATTGACACTTGATTAAAAAGGCTTTCCAACACCATCACTATTAACTCTGTTTGCAACCTGCTATAACCTGGCCAGGAGATTAGTCTGTGACATCAGCCACAATTCACAATACGGTTCAGTTTTATTTACGTGGTGTTGGCTCATAACAGCCGCCACCTCTAGGTATCTGACGAGGTAAAAACCTTGCCTCAGACTTTTGCTATTTTAAACTATTAACATTTAAAAAGACAAAATAAAAATGTCCAGAACAACCTTTACACAGCTGAATAATGATAATATGTAATCAACTGATTGTGTCCTCCATTAGACCGACTGGCCAGAAGGTCACCAGCTAGCAACTGCCATGAACTTTCGATTTCCTCAATGTGTGCCGACCCACCTGAAGACCCTTATTCCAAATGCCAGCAATGAGGCTATTACCCTGATGAAGGACCTGCTGCACTGGGACCCCAAAAAAAGGCCCACTGCTGCACAGGTAGGCATGTAAAGTCTTACTCCAGGCTTAATTTGTTCTCTTTAACAAAGACCCTTTTTAGCCTGTTGTTTAAAATTAATCTGTAACCTGTTCTCAAAGAAGCAGTTTCCATTGCAGTCAACACTCATCACTTCATGCAGATTATCTGTATTTTCACTGCAGGGATTTCACTGTTAATCCTAAACATTTTAAATAGTCTCTAAGCCATACTTCATTCTCAGTTCTGCTGCAAAACATTTTTCCTCTCTGCATATGTGCATACACATTATGAACATTATATGCCCATCATATTGTTGACTGTAATTTACACTCCAGAGAGAAAGTTAGGCCTAACACCGTTAGAGGGAGTGACAAAGCTTTTCCATTTCTACCTAAACAGCTCCCAGGTGGGTGGTTCTGTTCAGATGCACAGATGCACATCTAATTTTAGCTCATTCAGCTCTTGTCTGATTCAGATGGTGGAAAACTGTAATTGCTGAATAAAATACACCCTATGGTACACAGGGGTGTTTCTAAAATGCCCTGGGATTTAGGTTTGGTGTGCATGTTTTCTGTATTGTGCATGAAAACCATCCCTGCAAGTTTAAATGACTCAAGTTACACAATGATGTGCTTTATTTTGTTGTTTTTTTAAGTACAGACTGTGTATTATTCTTGTTTCTAGGGATATTCTTTCAGTGTAATTGAATATCCTCAGATTATTCAGAATAATAATCTGTGTTCCTTCCTCTCCTTTGCTAGGCCTTGCGCTATCCTTACTTCCAGGTGGGTCAGGTCTTGGGGCCACGCCCTCAGAGCCAGGAGGTCAAGAAAGTCCAGAACAGGCCGCTTGCTCAAAAACAGGCCTCTGAGTACAAAGTTGAACTGCAGCAGTCTTCCTCTGAGTCTAAAGCCTCCACAACCTCCTCCAGAAACCATCAACAGCCTCTGCAGCAGATCCCCTTACCCCAGGCTGAGAGTAAACCTGGAGGCCTCAGCCATGCAGTGAGTAGCTTTATTAAGTCAGATTAAATACTTGCAAAAAAAAGTTTTTAAAATAAAGTAGTCAGTTTGGAATAAGTGAGTACTCTGAAAGAGCAGAAGTTCTGGTGCAGATGCAGAGGTTGAAAGTAGAACTTAATTCAGCAAGACTCATTGCCCAAACGTGACATTACTATGTTGTGCAGAAGGCGCTGGGCAGTGAGAACAATGCTGGTGGCGTCGGGATGGGTGTGCTGAAGAGCGGTCGCCGTCGCTGGGGCCAGACAGTGGCCAAGACCTCAGACAGCTGGGAGGAATCTGATCGTTCAGAAACATCCGCCTCCAACTCCAAGAAACCCAGCCTGGTGAATACAGAGGAGGAGAAGAGCCCCAAGGACCAATGTCCACCGTAAGCTTAAGAAGAGTGGAAACTTTGCTTGGTGAAGCATTTGCTATGCTATGTGCTGCTATACTATGTGCTTCAGTTTATAAATTACAGTATATATGTAAATAAATATGCAATATTGAATACATTTCATATTTATCATACATTCCACAACATCCACATTTATATTCAGAACTTACTGTAATGCCTTGTTTTCAGACACCAGGAGCAGAAACCTCTATACTCCTTCAGTACCGTTACCAAGCTACCAAACAATGTAAAGACTGGCCAAATGGACTCTAATCTTCCAGGATCTGCGGCCCGCCAACACTATCTCAGCCAGTCTAGATACTTGCCTGGTAAGACTAATATGTAGTCTTATCTGTATTGTTTAAAATAGGTCATTGCTTCTCTGGTTACAAATAAATAAATAAAAGTTTTCATTTTTTTTATCGTGGTTTGAATTATTATTATAAAATCCAATTGCTTGCATTTTAATCAGTTTTGTGAAAATAGCACTTTCTGAGGGCTAAATTTTTAATCTTGTAATTTTGTTGGCTTTAAGGCTTGATCAGCAAGAATCAGACCTCCTCTGGAGAAAAGGAGCTGACTGGCATGACACTGCGGGACCTGTGGGAGAACTCCTCAAACACTGTAAATAAACCACTTGGTCCTATTGGGGGAGGATTATCTGTCACCAGAGCCAATGCAGGTAAAGACTGATGATGTCTAATGCAGCAGTGTTAAGAGGTTTGGCATAGTGCACAGTGGACGGGACTCAAGTTTCCAGATTTCAGTAACACATTGAAGCAGCCCGACAGCGTGTAAATTTTTTTGTAATGTACGAAGGCAGAAAAATACAAACACATACAAAAAATATAATATTCAAGCATTGGGTTTGACAACAGACAACAAACCTGCTCACTCAGTGGATTAAATAATGACTACACCATGACTTGCTCTGGAAACCTGGCGGCTGTCAAATTCACCTTGTGTTACATAATACGACGGTGTCCTCTTTCTTATACTAAGGTTCTAAGTGCTGCTGATGAAGCTAATATCACCTGGTCATTAGTTATGATAAAGAGTTAGTGAGCCTAGGCATGTGCGACTTTGGAGACCTAGGACACCATAAATCAATTGTCATGTAGGCAGGCACACAGTATGCGTCCCTCGTCTTCTCTCTCTGCTGCTGTCTCTTCCTGTTACCTCGTCTCTACCTCTCCATTGCTTATTCATGAGATTAAGACTGTAGGTATAAGATCAAGTGTTCCCTAAATGGCCTGCAGCTGTAGACCCCTCCCCCATCCATTCTCCCAGCACTGTTTGTTTTAGTGCTGCTCGCCTGTTCTGCATGAAAATGTGTTATTTAGCATGAAAAGTTTTTTTTCTTTTTTTTTCTTTTGAAAAAGCAAAAATGCTTTCAGTTTCCCTTCTTCGCCTTTACTTTATTGTTTGTCTTTTCTCCTTTCTCTCTGATCCCATGCATCTCCTCCAACTCTACTTTTTTTGGGCCATGTGATTAGAAGATACTGCTGCAAAGTGTTTGGATAGCCCACCAGACAAAACTGTGGTCAAAGAAAGAATACTGCAGAAAATTGATCTCTCCAAAGGTATTTAAGTGAGACTGGGTTTTTTGTTGTTGTTTTGTTTTCATTTGATTTTTTTTTTTGCTGTATTTCGCAGCCTTATTAGTTATTTGGAGTGCAACCTTTCTGAAGGCGGTATATAGAATAGCTTGAGGATAAAATCAAATAAACCAACAACCAGGGTGGTGGCTGATGCTGTAGCAAGTTTCAGATATTCAAACAGCCACTTTGCATGTGAAAGAAACCGGCCTCTTAAAGCTCTGCGTGAAACTAGGGTGTAAACATGCAGGTTAACATGAGAACGAAGAACTCCAGTTGCTTAACAGAAGATAAATGATACTACAACCACAACATCTTAAGGGAACAATGAAGCTTTTGAGTAATTATGGAGATAAAAATCTCTGACTGGTGGTGGAGAGACTCGATGGTGTTCTTTGAAATGTTGAATGACAATCAATCGACCCTATTCCTCCGCTTGTGCCCCTCGTGGGTATGCGGTGGTTCCAGTATGTCACGGGTGTTCACACATAAAGTTAGTGGTCGTAAAGCCACCTGTGAGAAGATCTGTGTTTTCAAGATCAGTTTTTTGTGTTTTTTTAAAAATGTTGCATTTTAGCAAATAAATACTGGTTTAATAAAATGCTGGTTGGACATCTGGGGTGTGCAATAATAAGAAATTTCAGACCTTTGGTTGAATTCTGTATTTATTTTCTTAAAGGGAACTTTGTGAGCACCAAGTACAACCTCTCTGGTGGTTACATCTCTTCATTTCAAAAGAAAGAGGTTGGCTCAGTGGGACAGAGAATCCAGCTTGCCCCCTTGGCTGGCCAGCATGCAAGTAAATAACTCTTTTTTTTCTATATAAACCCAACAAAATAACTTGTGAGACCTTTAGCCAGGTACTTTTAATCATTTATGTTGCTCTGAGAGAACAAAAAATCACTCTTTCCCACGTGTCTGAGAGGTTGCTCTGTTTCTCTAATCATAAACATTAATTCTGGTATTATAGTTGAACTATTCTGTTGTATGATCGTCCTGTACTCTTTTCTAATTTCCTCTGTTTAAACCTGCATCACATTTACTGGGAGTATGTTTCCTTTCTTTCTCCCTTTTCTTCACTTTTAGTAAATCTTTCTTCTTCTCCTGATAACATAAAAGACAACCCAAAATCTGCAAAACTCAAGCCCATATCCAACTCATCATTAAAAGAAACTGGTGAAGGTATTGCCATTTTCAAATAGTTGCTGTGTTTTTTTTTTTTTTAAAGCATCACCTATAAAGACGCTGGTGATTAAGAGAGACATTTGTTTTCTCTAGAATATGAAGCCTGGAAGAGGAGGACAGACAGCTCTCAGATGAAGGGCAGCAGTTATTCATCAGCACTGGGAAAAAACTCCGGAAACCTCCTGACCAGAGCTCCTGCTGTGCAGCCCGTCCATGGGAGGGTCGACTGGACATCCAAATATGGCGGAAACCGGTAGTTTGGGGGAGCACATGCTACAAACTACTACCGCTTGTTAGTCTTTGGCGAGCAATTGAATCCTGAGCAGGCTGCTTAACTATGCTTAGGCTCAGATATCAAGGTCGACATCCCACGTTCTTTGTTATGTTTATAAAAGTAGCACCGAACTGTATGTGCATTGAATCTCTGTGTTCTGGAGATGATGGTTGCCATGATGCTTAACCAGGACCGGTATTGTCCTCAAGACAATCCCACTGCATCCTTCAGATACAGTGGGAGCCAATTTCATTGTCATTGTTTGGATTTTTTCTTCTTTCTTTTTTTAAAGTAGGACTCCAGCACAGCAATTCAACTTTTATTTAACTTTAGATTTATTTTTCTCTAGTTTCATATTACAAAATGTCTTTAATGAATGGTTCCTGTAATGTTGTATCCTCTCTGCTTTTATTCAGCATGTAGTAGGTGACACAAAAAATCCAGAGTGTCATAAAAACACAGCAGACTCTGAAAACTGTAAGGGAACTGCAAACCTCTTTGTAATATATCAATGAGTAAGCTGAATTTTTTTTTAAACTTTTTTTTAACAAATAAACAAGTTCAAAGGTGCATTCACTGAAAAAAGACAACTATTTACTATATAAACAAGAGGGTACATTTATTGCATAAATCTACACTTTTTTTTTAAACAAAAGGACATGATTCTGGGCATAAATGGCAAATGCTGAGAGGGTGCTTCTGAAAAGAGCCACAGGAGCTGATGGGAATTGATATTTCAACATATTAACTTCATCAGGACTGTACAGGTTTCTGGAGCAACGCCAAGCTAAGCTTCCCCACCATCAGAGCACTGAAACAAAAGGATTACATTAGACCTCATTCAAAGAGCCAAAGTATACAGTAAAAAAGAATACAGATTACTGGAAGGGGGGGAATAAAATCCTCTGTAAAATGTGGCTTTCTTGGCTACAATGTAATATATAAATAGAAGTGAGGACAAAATTATTAGTGCCTCGATGATATTAAACGTTTTTGTGATAATTTTTTTTGTAAATGGAGCAAGGGATTTATTAACATAGCATTTCTAAATATACTAGCCTTCTTTAGAAACCATAAATTATTTCTATTAGCACACAATAACAGAATTATTTCAGAAAAAAATAAAAGTTACCAGGTCAATATTAATGCTCCCCCTGACAACTGACATGTGCAATGACATGCTTTAACTCTGTAATGCTCAAAGACTGGAAAAATATCAAGTTAAAACTGAAGGTTGTCTTTTTATTTACACAGTATAAAAACTTCCAACGGTTTGAGCTGTCACTTGAGAGAGCATCGTACCAAAAACAAAAGAAATCAGTTTAAACTTGCAAAAAAAAAAAAAAAAAAAGAAAAAAAAAAGTTGTTAATGCTCAAAAAGTAGGCGACGGATACACAAAGTTATCAAATGTCAAGAACTGGCATGAGAAATCTCATCAAGAGATTCAGAAAGAGCCACACAAGGCAGAACAAGCCTGGCAGAGGTAGGAAGTGAACGATTTCAAAGACTCTGGGAAGAAAACTAGCAAGCTGTATCTAAAGACCCCCAGAACAACTGCTGAGACACAAGTGAATGACTCAAACAAGTCTGAAATTATGGTCTTAAAGAGGACAATCGGTAGAACCCTGGTTTCGGACTAAGAAATATTTATAATAATCAAAATATTATAAATAATAATATAAAAATAGAAATAATAATCGTTTGGCCATGGTAGTTTTTGTTTTTTGTGAAATAATTTTGTTTCTGTGTGCAAAGTAAGTAAAATAATATCCCAAAATCAAACTAAGATATTTGGAATAATACTGTCCTCATTTGTGGTACTTGATAACAAGTAATGGCTGATTGGACTTGTACCAGACCTTGCTACAGCCATCAGACCAGCTGGCATGAACTTCCTCGATCCATAAAACCGCTTCCCCATGATACCAGTCAGTGCTCCTGATGCAGCTGGCAGACAGCAGGAGACGGAAAAGGTTAGTGAAGGCACTTGCAATGAAGACATTAGATATTCAGAAACCATTTACTTACATGCAGAACATACAGCTGCTGTGTGCAGTTTAGTATGTGGGTCCACATACTAAACATTTTGAGTGTATTTTTTTGGTCATAAGGCATAATAGAGTTATTCAATTAACATTCAAGACTGCGGCTTAAATGGCACAGCAGTGTTCAAACTTTACAGCTTTTTCTGACATGATGTTTTTCATAAGCTGAGGAAAGAAAAAAAAAAAAAGTTTACTAACCTAGTGACACCCAAACATTTTTAGGATCATTTGAGACCTGGTAAGCTCCAAAACCTGCAAAGCCCCCAAACAGCAGCCCAGCAGCTAGGGAGGGAACACTGCCTGACAGAACAAACATACAGGAGGTCAGAACCTAGGAAAATATAAACCAACGAGACAACAGCACCAATAGTAACACTTGTTGTTACAGAAATGTGATTATTTAACTTAAGTATTTTAGGTAACACATACCTGCTTTCACGTAACCAATGACTCCTCCAGATGCTACAAGCGTGGCGTATCCATATCCTACCCAATCCACAGTCATGTTGGACACCTGTCAGGACCACAGCGTGAAGTTATGAGAGTCAACAAACACATTATTGGCGTTGCACATCGATTATTCAATTAAAACCTCCTCCTGGTGTGAATCTAATTTGACCTACTGGTGTAAAAATACTTAAGGAGCTGTCCGAGTCCTGCAACACAGAGCTGTCACTGAGCATTAACGGAACCAACAGAAAAAGTGAAAACATTGTAGGAATGTTCCCGCTGTCACACACCGCAGCCGTAGTTTGTCAGCTTTTGATCAGAAGTCGTTAAAGAAAAAAGGGGCGTGTGTGTGTCTGGCTTAGTAGATAAGCCAGACTGCTTTACTGAGCCTTAGCACAAACTAGCATCACTGCTGCACCACACACTCAGAAGTTACACAATATCGCCGAAACCACTGTTAACAGTCACCCCGTAAACTTTGAAAGTAGATTAAATCTTAAGCAGCACTCTAAAACACTGACACTGTCGACTGTGGAAGCGGAATTAAAATAACAATCCGACTTACAACCTTAGTCGTTCAGTTTGTCCTCTGTCTGCCACTGACATAAACAGTGTGGTACCAACCAACTGCAGCTTGTTCTCCACCGAGCACAATTTATTGCTGCACTGTACGTTATGCGCTCGCGGATGCCGCATACGTAGGCTTACAGTTCTGAGCAGATCTCTTTATGTTGTGAAACACATACGGCTGCGCATAATAATAATAATAATAATAATAATAATAATAATAATAATAATAATAATAATAATAATAATTATTATTATTATTATTATTATTCTGTTTTTTTTTTATCGTTTATCGTTGCAAACAAACACGACCGATGACACTTAAAAGCTATTTAACTATTTTCTCTGCGGAATCACTACTGACGATTTATTGTCCTGTACTCTCCATAATAAACCGAGTCCTGCTTACTTAACGTCGTCGTATCATGTCAACCACTGAATGCGCTCAATTGAGTAACCCCAACGCCACTCGGAGCTATTTTATGATAATTGACGGCCACTAGATGGCGCCACAGGATTATATTAGGTTGTGTTTCAAGTTCAAACTACACCCCTCACAACAAGAGCTTTTTTTTCAAATAGGCATGTACTTTGATTTGCATGCATCCGGAAAAAAAATGGTGTCTTCTGTTGGGTGACTAAAATGATCAAGTTTAAGCTTGACAGACTGATTAAGGTTAATCAGAATCAGAAACTTTATTGTCATTGTCACAGGTACAACGAAATTAAAAGAAGAAACACAGGTGAACACAGGCACTCAGCGTATTTCTTGTTAGAAATGCATTTGTAATATTTGCAAACGTTTGTATTCCTCACAATTCGTGCAATTTCATGTAGCCTTTCCTTTAAAGCACCTGTGTTTCTGACTGGCATCGGCTCTGCAGATTTACTTCCTGGAATGCTCCCTGCTCACACATTCTCATTTGGTTTCAATTACCTGCATATTGACTTCAATCCACCAGCCGCGCTTCCTCGCTCTTATCCAAAAGCAAGGTGGCGCTATAACACAAGTTATCTTGTTTAGAGAGCAGCCTTTCTAACGTTGGGCCCGAAACCGTCTCAATTGAAAAATATAAATAGATAAATAAATCACGAATTTTTATGAATATAACCAAGCTTGGAGATCTTCGCCAGTAGGACACATCCAGCAGGAGCTAGAGCGTGGCTGTGGGAAAAGAATATTTGTTGCAAACTCAGCATTTCTACGAAATTATTTACCAACTTCATAACTTCATAACGTTTGGGGGATAGGAAAAAGTGCTCCTGTCTTTGATCAGCCTTTTTTAAAGAAGAAGAAGACGGAGAAGAAGAAGAAGGAGGAAGTCTTTCTGCCATTTCTAGCAATGAGAGAAGGACGCGTAAAATACGCACCAAGATCTGTCTGTGTATTTAGGTACACTTGATAATAACAATAATGATTATAGCAATACTACTACCACCACTACTACTACTACAACTAATAATAATAGTAATAACAATAATGATAATAATAAAATGTACAAGATGCCTGAGGCGCAGTCGTGGCTATCGCCTTTTAAACACAGCTGGCGGTTGGGGAACATTGCCGGAGGCCCGGTGCTGTGTGCTGCTGGTTGAAACTAAGCCCTAGACCGGCTAGATATTCAAAAGGGACCCCGCTGCAGAACAAGAGTAACCTACTCTCAGACAGCTCTGCTTTAAAACTTCACTCCTCCCTTGCGCAGAGCCCCAAACAATATTTCTGATTCCCCCTCCCCACCTTCCTCTCCTTTGTCCAGGCCTGGTAAGGTCTATATAGCTGCAGGTATTGTGTGTGCAGTTAAAATGTGTTCGCCTTTGAAGTCAAACATGAAGGCTCGTTTAAAATATTAACGCCACAAAAATCTATAGTCTCCGTGTGGAATTTTGCAATTTAGAAAAATACAAAAAACAAAAAACAAAAATGGGGTTAAAGCAAAATTAATTGTATTTTTCTTCCCCCGTTAAAAGTTTGTCCACCAGCACCAGTGTTACACTTAACGCTTATAACACGCTGTCTTTATGTGTGTGATATGATATAGTGAAAGGTAGATCAATGACGCTATCTGCCAGCGAAGTGCCCCCGCGACTACGTCCATAGCAGCCAGTTTGCCTACGTGTGTGTGTATGTGTGTGTGATGCGTATTACTTCAAAGAGGAGAAAGGGGTTTTGGACAAAAGATTTGGCCATTGTCACCCACGTCAGCGCACGTGTTGCTCTGCTTTCTGTGTGCGTGTGTGCGCGTTTCTCATGTGTGCGTGTGTACCACGGGGAGGGGGAGGGGGGGGGGTTGCTCATTCGCTCTTGGCCCGAGGGGTCTACATAAGTATGTATTAGAAATAAACAGTGGATAAATAAATAATGACTCTCACAATAGTATGGTAGCTTTCTGTGTAATGATGTTGGCAGTTAACCTTCAAGTTTTTTTAACTTGACACAGTTTCATTTGCACTGACAATTCATGTTTTCTACCAAGCAAGACAAATCAGAGAAGAAAAGGAACGGAAAGGTTAACAGATATGTCCTTTTTAGTTTTATGCCAGGTGAAGACAAATATAACCTTTATAATTATATATATATATATATTTACATTCGCTTTGTCCCAAGCAGTTTCCCATATTTTCTCATATGGAACCTTTATTACTATTATTATTTTAAAAAGCACATCTTAGTTAATCACACTGTTTGCACGCACAATAAACCAAATTATTATTTGATGAAAAATCATATAAAATCCTCTTTTTGTTGTCAAAACATGAAATGGTCTTGATCTTTAAAAATATATTATTACAGATGTATGTATTTGTTGGGGTGTGTTGTGTCTGCATCAATCACGTTAAATAGCCTAAATAATATCCATACTTTCAGCTCGTCACTTGTGAACGCTGTTGTTTTAAAAACTAATTAACTGTGACAGCTCAGACCTATTCGACACACAGACACAGACAAGCTGTTTCTTTTTTCTTCCCAGGTGCTCGCCACTCTCCGGTCCACACCCGGAGCAGTGCGCATGCGTCGCCAGGTGGCTCCACATATGGCCAGGTGAAGCGATTCCGGCCCAGGTAAAGGTTTACTTTTGCGAACGAAGGCTTAATGAAATAGACGCGCCGTCGGATCGGACCAAAACAAACCGCCAAAGGAAGCAAAGGATAAAGAATGTCAATTATGGGCAAAATGATGGAATGGCAGGTATGTATTGTTTACCTTAAGAAAAAGAAAACGGCTGCAAAAAGGGTGGGAAAATACATAAAAACAGTCAAAGTATCGACTTGTTGGATGAGGCTGCACGGACGCTATGAAATCCTGTAGTAAAGAGAGGCAGCACAGTTCTGTAGAGGCTCCTGGATTTGATCACACTGGAGATATTTTGGAGTCTTTTGCGGGGAGCTATAGCCTGAAATGTGGAATTAACCATATTTTTTTGTTGTTGTTGTTTTTATTCTGAAAGTCTGAAGGTATGGATCGTTTGTTGCAAGGACATCGTGCGCGTTTCAGACACACTGTGAAATCCACATTTGTTTCATCATAAGTTAGACATGTATGGAAACAGACTTGAGGTGCTTTGTTAGAGGTGGAGCGATTAGAAAACACAGCCCGTGCTCGATGTAGTTAGGCTTTCAAGTAGAAAAAACAAAAACAAAGAATAACAATGATAAACTTTTCATGTGCTTTGCAGCTGTTCCAATTTTGCATGGCGTGAGCATGTCACAGTGGACTTTTTGTACAGTCTCATTTTAAAAAAACGATCTGGGCTTGACTCAAAAGTATGGCCTCGACTTGTGGATGCGTTGGGGATTTAAGAGAAGACCTGAGATGTTTGGTGGAAGAGAAACACTCCAGTTTCAGGCGAGCAGGCCAGGTCTCTTTTACACGGATGCATTGCTGTCGTTGACAGCCGCTCCACGTTCATTAATAACAACTGTTTGTTACAAAAAAAAAGAAAAGAAGTGGGGGGTGGAGGGGTCTCCGTCCCACCAAAAATACCAAACAGGCTTTTAAAAGGGGGACAACGCCTTGAAGCGCCGTGGACCTGTCTGCTGACCCACGACCTGGTGAGGTGAAGGCTCAACCGGCGACAGGACAGAGCCAGGCTCCCCCAGCCGCTCATTCAAATGAAACAAGGCCACGTTGTTGTGTTAATTATTGACACCAACCCCACCTCCCTCCCCCTTCCTCAACTCCCTCACAAGCCCTGCCAACCTTACAGGTAGCCAGTGGACCTGTAGAGCGGCTTTGAATAACTCACCCTTTTTAACATCACACTGAAAGAATGGCCTCTCGAGGTCTCAATAGGATTAAAATAACACTTTGGGAGGTTTTTTTTTTTGGTTTGGTTTTTTTTGCAGACAAAAAAAAATCAGGGTTGGCCCCACGGTGTGTGTGATGGGCTGTTTTTACATCAAATTTAAAGTTATCAAGAGGTGGATAGAAGGGAGTTCAGTTTAGACAAAAAAAAGTCACAGAAAAATATATTTGACAATTTGTTAAAAATACACAATTTCTGAAGGATTCTTTAGGATGTGCACTTTTCCATCCTCCCAAATATGAAATCAAAATGATTGTAGAAAGTGTCCCAGGTGCAAGCAGGTCCCCATGCATGACCGTACCCTCCCTTCCTCTCAATAAAAAACACACACACACACACACACACACACACACACACACACATACCTCATTGAACAGTAGAAATAATAACCGTGTGTAGCATCTTGTTGCTTTTTTAGTCTTCACCTGTAATGCTGTCCATTGGTGTTGTGTGAGCAGATGGGGGGAATCAAACGGCTGTTGATATGCTAATGAGGCCCGGTGCCAGTGTTATTACAGAGCTGATCCAGCCCTTCACTTCCACCATTAGAGGGAGACCTCAGAGCGCAAGACAGACAACCAACCCACAGCTTCAATAAAAGTAGTTTTTCTGAGCGGGGAGCACAATTCACTGAGTGAAAACAAGGCTAAGGCGATACCTATACTCAATATCCACCTCAACAACCCATGAAAATGCTCTGGAAATTAACTGATAACATTAAATATGAAGACTGCGAGGTAAGAGGCTCGTTTTTAATTTACTAAATTTGTTGTTGTTATATTATTATTATTTTTAAACATTCAGTAATTATTTTATGGCTGCTTTTTAAAATTGTTTTGATCCAGCTGTGAGATTCTTTTGACAGCTGTTAGAGAACATATTTAACTGCAAGATGAATAGACTGCATCTTATGGCTTTTGTTAAGTAATGTAATAATAATAATAATAATAATAATAATAATAATAATAATAATAATAATAATAATAATAGAAAGCTGCTTTTAATATCGTCTGGCTGCATAAAAATCACAACATTTTCCAATTTAAAACTTACATTAAAAATAAAATAAATATGACAAAAAAATTATATTGCACGTGAAAACATTAAAGCATTAATATACACTTACCATGCATTAAATTAAAAAAATAGTATTTTAAAGCAGTGTGAGTGCTGGCACTGCCTGGTTCATTTTGCGCTTCAGTTACAAGCTCTTGGACTCTTCAGGTTTTTCTATCACTGCAGAAGCCGTTAAATTCTGCGTGTGCGTGTATGTGTGAAGTGCATACACTGAGTGATTGTTGTTGTTGTGGACACAGACGAAGTTTGGCAGTAATACCGGTGGCTTGTTTAAGGAGTGGAGAAGCCAGTCGGACGTGTTTTCGCCCGCGTCCTGTGAGGATAGAGAAGGACGGGAGCAAGAAAGCAAAAAAGCAGAAAGAAAGAAAGTGGCACCTCCGCGGTCGTGTTAAATGGATTCTTTTAATTTACAGACAAACGGTTCGTTTCCTCCGCTGGTATCGAGGCAAAAACAAGAAATACATAAACAGATAAATAACATTTGCAGTCGCGGTCCAGCCGAGGCCCCAGTAAGTGCTGTTTCGTAATTTTAAAGTGCATGATTAGGCAGGAAGGGGAGTGGAGCTATTTCAAGCCGCGCGCAAAAGTTACAGAGCGCAGGATCCAGCGGCCCTGTCTCACACTGTGGGAATTTTATTTTGCTCCATCTTTCCGGGTCAACGTTAAAGTTAAAGTCGGCGTGACTCTGGGTTTTTTGGAGTCGAGGACGGATCGGTGGATTAATTCGACGGAGACGGGAGAGGCAGAGAGAGAGAGAGAGAGAGTGAGAGAGAACCATGGAGGACAGCTCGCTGTCGGAGTCTGAGGTGGAAAACAAAGGGACAAGCGGTAGAAATGAGCCGGCTGGAATGCCCATAGCGTCGTCTGCTGGATTTTCACCCAGTTCAGAGGTGCACATTGTTTCCTTCCCTGGCTTCTTCATTCCTGTCTGTGGTCCACCTCCCTTCCCATTCCTGTCTTTCTTTCACTTTTGCGCTTTGGCCTGGGACTCTTTTAAAATGCCCCCCTCCTCCTCCTCCCTCTCTCTCTGATTCGTCAGACGAGGTGAATGTCCCTCTTTTTGTGTGTGCCTCTCTCCGCACACTCTCTCACTCCCTCTTTCTCTCTCACTCCCCCCCTCTCTCTCCCCATCTCTGATTAGATATACTGATTCCTCCTTTCAATGGACGTCATTTAAGCGCAGACTCCTGCCTTGAGTTGCGTCCTCCGCTTCACGCCAGATTTCCGTCTATTCTTTCCTTGTTATTAAGTATTCCTGTGGTATTAATTGTAATGAATGCGTTCTGGTAGGAGTCCGAGAGGGAGACGAAGAAGCGGCTCTTTTTTGGGGCTAATATGAGCTCGAGCGAAGGGACGGTAGCACTGTGATAGAAGCCCGGAGAACAGGGGGGAAAAGAGGGTTTACCAAGAGAAACTTTTCAACCTCGATCGGCCAGCACCGCCGAATATCTGCATTGTTAGAAGCAAATGAAGGGCAGCTGGGATCTAACCGTTTATTTCTGATGGATTATCGTCCTGCTACCGAGGCACATATCTGATCGCCGGGGCCATCGTGATCTTTGCAGGAGAGAAGAGTTTTTTCGGGGGCCTTGTTCTTTTTTTTTCTTTTTTCTTTTTTGGGTTTTGCTGGTTAATTCCTTTTGCTCTTCCCCCCCGCCCCCCAAAGACTCCGTGTTTTTGTGAACTGATTACTATAATAATCATTTTTTATTATTATTGAGTCGCACCATAAATCCTTACAGATGTTAGTGCACAGTTTTTCCCCGATGGTAAGTTGCTGGAGTCTCCCACTATCAGATACTTTCTTTCTTTGCTTGTTTGCCTACGAGATTTTCTTCTTCTTTTTTTTTATACTTTAAGTTTTTTTTCCAAAGCGTGCATGCTTGAAAAATCAGCTGAGCGTCCTGCAAATAACAATTTAAAAAAATGTCAGGACTTTCCTATTTAATGCCGTTTCATTTTCTGGATTTTTTAAAAATTATTATTTATTTTGCTCATGTGCTGTCAGGTTATTTTCAATTCCCAAAACTTTGCGGATGTGTTGTGGGTGTTGTTGTTTTTTGTTGTTTAAAAAATCCCTTTCCCTCAATTAACTGGAATAATTCAACACAGATTCCACACTTGAGCTAATCGTGTCATCCACTCAGGGGCATATTTGATAATGCCCGCAGAGCATTCACGTGTAAAAATATAGACGGACGTTTCGCTAATTTATGACCGCGTCCTTTCTTTTTATTTTTATTTTGAACGTATTCAGGCTAAAACGCTCTTTTCCTTCTTTCCTTACCTGCCAGGATCGTCACGACGGCACCAGCAATGGGACAGCCAGGCTACCTCAGCTGGGCAGCGTGGGCCAGAGTCCCTACACGAGCGCCCCTCCGCTCTCCCACACACCGAACTCGGACTTCCAGCCTCCGTACTTTCCCCCACCCTACCAGCCCATCTACCCGCAGTCTCAGGACCCTTACTCGCACGTCAACGACCCATACTCCCTCAACTCCCTGCACGCCCAACCGCAGCCACAGCACCCGGGCTGGCCGGGCCAGAGGCAGGGTCAGGAGAGCGGCCTGCTGCATCAGCACCGCAGCCTGCCCCACCAGTTGTGCCGGGAGTATCGCAGGGAAGTGCTCCTGCCATCCGGCCACGGCATCGATACGGGATTGTCGGACTCTATCCCTATCCATGGAATACACCAATCTTTAGAAGACGTGCAGGTGAGGCAGCGTTTACCTGGCTTTCTCTTTCTGTGGAATTACTCCATTTAAGAAATGAAAATAGAAAGAAAAAAAATGAAAGAAAGAAAAGGAATAATGCTGTCATTAAGAGTTCGAGCACCACGGGTGCCAACCCGCTATTATCTGTAAGAGTGAGGGTGTGTGTGTATTTTTTATTTAAATAAATAATGAAATTTGTTCTGTCACCCCGCCTTTAAGAAATCAGGTACTAGTCATAGCAGTGCTGTGACTGTATCATGTTTATCGTATTAATATTCGCTGATACAAACACGACTGACACGCAGTAAATTAGGTTCGGGGAGCTCATTATAGCTCTTAAAATATACAAAACAAATAAATGCGTGGATTTTTTTTCAGTATCGTCAAGGTGTTTTAAGACAAAGCAGCACTGATTTGCAATTTATTTCTGTTATGAAATATATTTTAAAAACCATTCATAATGCTGCTCGTCGACACATGGCTTTTGTTCGACATCTGAAAGTAAAAAGGCATGAAATACATGAAAATAATAGATATCTCTATTTTCACGATTCATTTTCTTTCGTGTCGTTTGCTTTTTATTTAATTTCTCTGTTTAAAACAAAATAAAAAAAAACGAAGCCGACGCTTATTTGAGAACAATGACATGAGAGTGTACTGCATGCACATTAAGGAGAATTTTACTTTGCTGCACGGAGCTCAGACAGACGTTTTACTGAAGGTCTGTGATGGACGAGCTTTTACATTTGTCAATAAACTCCATTTATAATAAGAACATTACACAAAAAAATCAGAAACAAACACCAATAATTCGCTAATTAGTTCATAGGCCTTTAATAGGCAGCGCCGCCGTAATTACTATCCAATCTAGATTAGAAGTTTCCTTGTGAGTACAGCCAATCTGAAGGCGAAATTAGGTCAGGATTATGGGGCGACACAGCTTCGTTATTTAAGTCTGCGTTTTTCATCTAATCAGTGTAACCGGTCGAAAACACCATGGACAATAATAACAGGTATGGGGCCTCGGGAGCCTCCATGTTGGGTGATTCTGGCTGCTAATTGTGTCAGGCTTTGTTCCTGCACCGCATCCTGAGGTGCGTTTACGTACGCAGGACCGAGGCTGACATTATTAGGTTTTTCCTTCTCTTTCCTGCCTTTGTGCTTAAACGTATACTTTTTTTTGCATTTGTGTCATAGCCTGTTGAGGATCAAGGAATTCACATCCCCGACCAGACTGTAATTAAAAAAGGTAAGCAATTTCCTCCGAGATACAGTACCATGCATGTTTCTTCAAGCTGCACACCACTAAGCAACACACACACACTCGCATACACGCACAAACGCCATTCACTATTCTGCTCGAGAGAGCTCGATGCAATGCGGTAATGCCTGACTGATCCTAATACGCAGTAGCCTATTTTTCATTACATGGTTTCCAAGTGCGTCAAACTGGCTGCACCTTTTTTTTTTCCTCGCTGATGGAATTTACTGTCAGCGTTTCAGCGCAGCGGGGAGATGAGTAGAGCTGGTGGGCTTTGTAGGCCCGCGTGCTATTGATGGTCAAAGATACAGGCCTCATAGACGATCCTGGCACTTCAGGAAGCCAATAGCTGCAATCACGTAGCGTGGTCAAATCTAAAATGGGAGTTGGTACCGCTGGATGGAGCACAGGCCTGCTGTGTGTAGGATGATAGTCTGTCATTCAGTGAGGGGAATCAAAACTAGGCTTGGGAAAAAAATAAAATCACTTGGCTGGATGTTTAATATGGTGAAATGCAATTGTTTAAATATATATTTAGGCTACTTTGGTGAAGGTTGTTGGATTGTGCTGCTGCTGCTTCAGTCCGTCGTGTTTATTTGCTGTTAAAATTCAGTGAATTGTATTACTTGACACAACACGAGGAAGTCCCATTCTTTTCGTGGCCATGTTTAAAAAGGTTTTGTCAGGTCAAATTAGAACTCGCTGGATAAGATATGGAGTGATTTTGCTTCCCCATTTCTTCCCTTCCTTTTTTCGTTTTTTACTTCTTTCTTTCTTTCTTTTTTTAAAATCTTTTTAACCATTCTTTCTTTTTTAGTCTGTCTATCTGCACATCAACATGATAATTGGCTTCTTATATTAGTAATCTCAAGAGTTCGTTTAACTCCTATTGTCTCTATTAGGCTCCCTTGAGCCATTAATGTCACAAGTGATCTATCCAAAGGCGCACAGTCCCCTTTGTCTCCGGTTACTGCACACCAAAACGGTGTAAAGCCCAGCACTGCTGAGCCCCCCCTCCACATACACACACACACCCCTACCCCACTATCCCCCCCACCCAGTGTGAAATCACACACGGGGTACGGTGTTTTGCTGGATACCCAGGATATGTCAAAATAGGTAGACTTTACAGAATCTCTCGGTTGGTATGGTTGCTTTGTGCGGAGATGCTGTGTAGGGCGCACACATCCTTTTATTTCTCATTGTCTGCTGCATAGTTGTCTACATAATGTCATTGAGTGTTTTTTTTTTAAGTGATAATAATAATAAAAATAATAAAAAAACAAAAGAGCACAGACGAGCGGAAGTATTCTGGCTTTCAGGCAGGTATATTTGAACGGAAATCAGGTCTCATAGTGCTGATTTTACTGATTCTGCAATATATTATTATTATTATTATTATTATTATTATTATTATTATTATTATTATTATTATTATTATCATTTGCCAGTCTTACCGAACATGTACACATGTTGTGCTAAACTCCAATTCCGGGGCCTAACCTCCACCCCCCTTCTCATTTAGTTAAGGCTCTGCATTGCATGAAATTCACTGAGCACGGTCTCTCTCTCTCTTTCTCTCTCACCCCGCAATCCCTCCCTCCTTCCTTCTCTCCATCCCGCCATCCCCCTCTCTCTCCCTCTCTTCCTCCCTGGCTATAGGTCCAGTGTCTTTATCCAAGAACAACAACGTCTCCGCAATCCCAGTAAATAAGGACGGTCTTTTCGGAGGGGTGGTTAACCCCAACGAGGTGTTCTGCTCAGTTCCGGGTCGCCTGTCCCTTCTCAGCTCCACATCAAAGTACAAGGTCACGGTGGCAGAGGTGCAGAGACGCCTCTCGCCGCCCGAGTGCCTCAACGCCTCTCTGCTGGGCGGGGTGCTGAGGAGGTGAGTTTGACTGGGAGGCTGAAAAAAAATCTCCTCTCTCTACTCCCTCTTTACCTGTGGGTTTGTGCGCGTGCGTATGAAACTCGCTCTACTCCAATCATTTCTTTCAGCGAGCGTGCATCTCTCCCTTTCGCTCTTGCTTTCCCATTCTCTCTCTCTCTCTCCTCTGTACCAAGAATAATTAAAATCGACCAACCATGACACCTAGCTCCTGCATTTAAAGCAGGGGGGTCTGTTAAATTCCATATCAACTTCCCAAGCGTACTGGGTATCTCTCTCTCTTTCTCTCTCTCCCAAATTAATGTAGGCCTAGTCTGTTTCAAGCTCCGCTCTATAGGCCCACTGAAGGCATTACACATGAAAACATTGGTCTCCAGTGAACTGTCTACAGAAGTGCTGCAGACACACAGCCAGTAATAGCGCTGCCTATTAAGTAGGACTTTATTTATTCAGTTTATACAGTATTTGCTGGTAGAAAAAAAGGCGGAGGGGGCTCCTTAAGTATTATTTATTGTTTGTAGCTATCAGATATGTGGAGGAGGGGGAAGTTCACGTCCGACTTTAAATCACAACCACTGTTAAATTAGCCAAAACATATATACAGTCAATCATTAATAGTTATACATTAATCATTACCTATGTATATATATATATATATATATATATATATATATATATATATATATATATATATATATATATATATATATATATATATATATATTCAAAGAAAATATTCTTGCTCATATATTAGCCTCCCTTATACAAATTCCTTCACATGAGCAACACTACAATGAGTTTTTCTGCTTTGTGTTACTGTCACAGGGCCAAGTCTAAGAACGGAGGAAGAAGCTTAAGGGAGAAGCTGGATAAAATCGGTTTGAATCTACCTGCGGGCAGACGCAAGGCAGCCAACGTAACCTTGTTGACGTCACTAGTCGAAGGTAAGTCGGATACCGTAAATTACGTTCCCACTCTTGTTGCTCCCGCGATACCAGGTGCTTGCAAACTAGGTTTTTTCTCTCCTTTCTCTCTTTCTTTCTTTCTCTGTGTTGGAAATCAGCATATGCGCTCATCCGTGTAATGTGGACCGACTTTGCCTCGCAAGTAATAAAGCATGAAGGATGTGTGTGTGTATGTCTGCGAGTGTGTGTGAGAAGAGAAACACACGCACACACACACACATATATGTATATATAGTGAGAATGGTGCTGGTAATTCTAGTGGCTTTGCAGCGTTGGCCTTCGCTTTCAGGAGCACACTTGCAGGTCCACGGCTGGCCTAGTTTATACACTGGATTAATTTGTGTTGAAGTCCAGTTAATTATTGAGTGCTGCTTGTTTATTGGGCACCGCTGAGCTGTTTCACCTCATGGATGAGAAGTCGATTGATTTATTAACCCTGCATTGTTTCAAACGTTAATATAGTCTGGATATAACAGTACAGAGCTGATTTTTAATGGTGACTTAATTCTTTCGTTAATAGCTTGCCATGCTTTGGCTTTCGGTGGGATTTTTATTGCATGCAAATGGCGTGGCGCTGACCTATTGGGAGCTATATGTTTTGGGCCTATTACAAAATAAATTAGTCAATTATTGTGCGCAGAAAAGATGCCTTTTGCGCGACTGGATAAATCCATTCTGCTAGCAGAGTTGAACCTTATTATTCAGTGCAGTGGTATTTGGTGTGCTGCTGGTTTCCAAAGGTGAAAGCCTGCGATGCTTCATTGGTCCCCGTTAATCATTATTGCAGAGGAGCACCGAATGCAATATTCATTGTGTTTCGTAGAAATTTGGTGCTGTATTGTAATGAGCCTGGAGAAATGTTTGATTGTGGGTAATAAGAGGGTGGTGGCACGTGGGGGGTTGGGGTGGTGGATGACAGAGAAGGGTGGGGGGGACTGAGACAGCCGGTTATTTATTGAAGGGACAGTGGGTTTTCTGTGCTGTCATTGTTTACGATCCGCTCCATTTTATGGAAAATAGCTTACCGGACTTGAGCTTTGATGCTAATTGGCGCATGCGTTCTTCCGGAGCAGAGGCTTATGGGCAGGAAGCCCCGCAGTAAAAACTCAACTGCTTCAGGAAATTAAAACCAAAGACTTGGAAAAAAAATCCACCAACAAGAGAGGCGAGCTTGGGACGGAATTAAAGCAGAAAGTCTCATAAGTGAAGTTTGCAAAGGCAAAGTGAGATTTAGGTGTAGCCTTTTAAAATTGCTGTGATGTGCTGGACTTTCAATAATGCGCAGGCATTGGTAATCAATGACATGGTGTCGAGCATGACGCTCCGTCTATACTTCACCTCCACTTAAAGGTTCTCCTCCATCTCTTAAGTGTTCCCACGGTGTGACGGAAAGACGGGGTGCACTGACTGCTCGCAGGGCCAGCTTCATTATCATTATGAATATTATTATTATTATTATTATTATGTCGTCATCAGCATCATCATCATCATCACTGACGCTGTTGGGAACGCACAGGTGCCTTAACCCTGCCGTCTGAACGCACAGACTGGACGCTGTGTTCGGGCAGAGAGTGTGAACTTGTCTATGCTTGATGTAACCATGCTTTATGGGCAAACATATTCAACCTCATTTCTTTTCGTTCTCAGGCGAAGCGGTGCATCTTGCCAGGGATTTCGGTTATGTATGCGAGACCGAGTTTCCAGCCAAGGCAGTAGCTGAATATGTAAACCGTCAGCATTCCGACCCAAACGAACAAGTCCAAAGAAAAAACATGCTGTTGGCCACGAAGTAAGTGCTATTATCACATTTCACCATGTCACACCAAATGCATGCCGCTCTGTGCCAGCACAGAATTTGATCAAAGTGCTGCTTTTTTACGCAGTTTTCACAGGCTGAATAATTTATTTTGCATTATTTTATTTTCTATTTTTTAATTAGAGTACGCTACGTCAGACACGTGACCATGATAAAAAAATAAAATAAATAAACAACGCGTTTGCCTCATACATATCGGGCTAGTGTTACCGAGTAACAATTAATAATTAATTAATTAATTAATAAACTTCTCACGCTTCTCACCTGTTTTAATTATAGACTTAATTCACTTCCTTGTTTTCCTTTATTATTATTATTTAAGCAGGTGCCTCTATATGATATCATAAATTATAATTACAAGGCTTGCTAAATATACCGCTGTTCAATATGGGCCTTTCGCCTCATCCACTCGCGCAGCAGCATTTTGTTTACTGTGAGATTTCAGTGACACTGACACATAGCTGGTTTTCATCCAGCACACTGTTGGTGTTTATGCATTAACTAAAACATGGGAAGTCCTTACAGGGCAAAGAAAAGCAGAGGCAGCATTTAATATTGATGATAGGCTGCTATAATCAAACAGCTGTTAGCCATAACTGCTTATTATAGGCTTTTTTTTTAATGTTAATATACAAGTGGCATGATATGGTGTGTGTATCTGTGTTAATCCACCCTTAATGCTGGTGCCCCCCTAAAAGGAATATATGTATTTAATACTTTAATGTCATATATTGCTAAATCGTTGGTTTTAAATGATGAAAATAAAAGGATGAAAGCAGGAATTTCTTTTTTTTTTTCATTTCTTCTTTCTTTGTCTTTCCTGTTTGATAATCAGCGACTAAAGTTCAGAGTTGACGCTGCAAAAAAAGAAAAAAAAGAAAAAAGAAAAAAAGAAGAAGTTCATTATATTAGCAGATCTTTCCTTGTGTAGTTGGCTCGTGTATTATGATTTTTAAAAATGATTATTTATATTTTAAAGTAAAATATTGCAGCTAAGAGATTAACTGTCACCTGTTTGTAGCTCCAGGACATTTTCTTTCCCCAAATGTTATTTTTGGAAACGAAGCGAAGGAAACACGGGCTCACACAACAAATTTTTCCACGCAGATATGAGAATGTGATGAAATAAGTTTCTCTTTTAAGCTCCAGCCGGATACTTTTGACTCGCTTTAAGCAAGTTTAGGATTTACAACCCAGCACTCCCGCGGGGGCATTTCGTTTTGCACTGTGTCCATTTGAATTTAGCCTCTTTTTCTTGTATTATTGAAACATTAAATTTGCATGCAGGGATTTTCTGTCTCGGTCATTAACACCTCCTGTCTCTCTGATTTTAGGCAAGTCTGCAAAGAGTTCACAGACCTGCTGTCCCAGGACCGCTCGCCGTTGGGAAACTCGCGGCCACAGCCCATTCTTGAACCAGGAATTCAAAGCTGTTTGACCCACTTCAGTCTAATTTCGCACGGTTTCGGAACCCCTGCACTGTGCGCGGCCATCACGGCCCTGCAGAACTATTTGACCGAGGCTATCAAAGCCATGGACAAAATGTACCTCAACAACAACCCCAACAGTCACTCAGATAACGGCACTAAAGGCGGAGACAAAGACGAGAAGCACAGAAAGTGATCTTTTTTCTCTCTCTCTCTCCATCCCATCTTCACCGAGGGCCAAACCGGCCCCCCCACGCAGGGGCCCTTCTTCTGCACCGACCCCACACCCTTCCGCCCCGGCGCCCCTCTGCCCCCAACCATCCAATATAAATATTATAAATACCTTATAAATATTATTGATAAAGTTAAACGTGCCACTTCCTGATCTTGCGCGGTTTTACATGTTTTTTGTTTTTGTTTTGTTTTGTTTTTACATCCCACTTTGGATTCAGGAGCAGGGGGAGGGAAAAAAAAAGAAAAGTCGCAAGAATCTTCTTCCATCACCTGAACCATATGAAATGTTATTTAAAAAATAAAAAAAGAAAGAAAAGAGGAGAAAAAAGCTGCAGAGGAACAGCTCCAGGGCGAGGAAAAGCTGTATTGCCTCACCCAGAGGACTTTTTATGTACTCCCCTTATTTTTTATGAGCTGCAACGGATGGACTGAAATCCAGCGACCCCTCTATATCTCAATTTTACGATTGTGACAAAGAAAAAAAGAAGAAGAAGCTAAAAGAGGACGAATTCTTATCAGTATTGTGAATAGTAAACTTGAAAAACAACGAGAAATCCCACAGATCTCCATGCCATGACTTCAGTTGTAGACTCTGTCTCTCTCTCTCTCACTCTCACTCTCTCTCTGTCCAAGCGACCAACTTGAACTTTTTTGAATTTCAACACGATTCACGGTTATATAAGGGAATCAGTGTTCATGTATGTATATATTTATTTATGTGTAATTTAATGGGAATTGTAAATATGGTGCGTCTGTTGAAACTTCTTTTTTTTTTTATTTATCTGGTGCCTCCTGTTTTAGTGGGTTTGAATATTCGGTTAGTTCTTCATGTGATTTTATGGTTCTTAGAAAAACAGAAGTTTGGGGTAATTTTTCATTTCTCTGGGATATTTCAACTCAGCCCTCTTGTAGCATGTTGAGGCGACATTGAAGCAAGTGAACAAATTTAATAGAAATAAACTTCCAATTTTCTCTCTATATATCATCCTTATTCAGTTTTTTTTCTTTAAATTTTATTTCAGACAGAGCATAAGTGAGCCCCCACCCCCCACCCCCACCCCACCCCCCGAGGAGAAATGTTCTTGTGTGTGTGTGCGTGTGTGTTTCTATTTTTCGTTTTTATACGAGCTTTTATGTGTTGTGCCAATCAGAAATACGTTCCCACCTCTTGTTCTCTCCTTGAAGCAGCATAAAAGCAATAAATGGAATATTGTCTTTTTTTCAATGTTCGAAGACATTCAAAAACATTTTTTTTGGGGACCACCTGATATCTTGTTATGTCCGATAATGTCCGAAAATTGGAGGCGGTTTTAGCTGTATTGTATAGACCTGTGCTGGCAATAGTTCCTATGCCTGTCAATGTATTATAGTCCTTTGTTGCCCAGAAAAAAATAAATATTTGATACGCTTCATCTCGATTTTATTAATATCTTTTAATTTTTTATTCACTGCTTGATATACCCGGGTGTTTTTTTTTCTTCTTCACGATTTTTTTTGTCTTGGTATTTTCCCCCCTATTCTGAACGGCTACAGTAATTGAGTTTAAGTCTCCCCTGACGATTGCTCCTTGCAATAAGCAGCTGAACTCACTGTTTCCCTCAAGTATAATAAAAAAAATTCTTACTTTAAACTCCCTAGTTCAGAGCACAGGATCTTATGCAGGCCAAATGGCTCACAACAATGGATATATTCGCGTTTGAAGTGTGCAGCGCCACCCCTCCAGCTAAAACCCTCTGAGATGTATATAGGCCTGGTGTGCAATGTTTTGTTGTTATAGGCCATATTTGGCTCTTCTTCGTTGATTCTGTGCCGGATCTTTATTCAAAGACACGCATCAAATATTTGTTATGTTGTTTCGCCTCTCAGTGTAATCAATGAACAATCAGAGAGCTCAGTGTGGTGGATTTGTATTTATTTTTTTTCACATGTGTCTATTCCGTGGCATAACCGTAACACTTTTTTCACTTTTTAACAACGAGTGTCCAGCTCTAAACTACAATTTCGCCTGATTTTGTGACTGTGGTTCTGAAAATGTGGCCATTTTTAAATTTGTATTTATTTATTTATGTATTTATTTTCGTACTTTGTGATGGCAAATCTGGCGCTAGGCTCCCCCCCCCCCCTTTTCTTTCTTTTTTTTGTGTTGTTGTTGCATGAGCTGCGCAGAGCGGCCCATTGCATAACATTTAAGCTGCGTTTGATTGTGTGCTGATGGCCTGGCACCTATAGTTCCGAATCAATCTCGTCTGCGGCGTGAATCAGTCTGGTGATATATGCATTCTCGTATTGTTTCTTGCTTTTCCCCATTTCACTGTCTGGTAACCATGCAGTTTAAAATATTGTAACACTGGGAGATATGGCACCCCACACCCCACCGTTCTCCCGCCCACCCCACCCTTCCCCTCCTTCCCCTCTTTCTCTTCTCCCCGGTCTCCTCGGCAGTCGTATTTATTATCTGCATGATTTTCGGGCCTCAGTTTAATTCTGAGGCAGTTGTTTTGCAGGAGGGTGAATGAAGCCTAACTGTACATGTCCTTGGCATAATTGCGATGCACAGTGCTGGAGCAGGTGAAGCGAGGCATTGTCTGTCAGGCCCTGTTTTTGTTGGCTCAGTCCTCAGATTGTGTGTGGGATCCTGTCCTCAGGCACAATAGCTCACTCATAAAGGAGAGAGACTACCCGGCTGCTCCTGCTATGGTGGATGTGAGGTGGTGGTGGTGAGGGGGGGGACTAGCATAAATAGTCACTTTAAGGGGAAAACAATCGTATTAAAACGGCATTCATTGGCATTAGCGAAAAGGAAGCCCCTCGCGTGTGTCATTAATGCTAATGTTATTTAATAAATTTATCGGGGCCGGGCTGAATGAAAACAGGTTTTTTGACGGTGAGACAAACGCATTAGAAATAGTCATATCGGTGACAATGGTGGAAATTTGTGCTCGTTATTAGCAGGAGATGAGGAGGATCGAAAGGCCCGTAATTAGAGCGTGTTTTAAATAGAATCGGGGTGTTAAAGAAACTCGAAATCCCATTGTTTGCCTTTGTTTACACCGATACCGGGCCTGCAATTTGCATGGATACCTTAAAAATACAAAATTGGAATTTTACCCTAATTTGATCTTAAACAGGTAGAACTAGTTTCTCAAATGCCTCACAGCAAAAGTCATTTACAACACACACACACAAAATAAAGGGGGGGGGGGGGGGGGGGGGGTGAAATTTGAAGAGCCAGTCAGCAGCTGAATTTGGATAATTCAATCCCTAACTGCTGGTTGTCTCAACTAAACCAATTACAGCTGATTCCCGTATAGTAATTAATAAGTGTGAGGCCTGTTGTTATCAAATATATTCTGGGAGAATATGTGAAAAAAAAATATATTCCAGGGGTTACACTGATAAATTTGTGCGCCCCTGAGCGTGATGGCGTTCAGGGGCGAGAAACAACAACAACAAAAAATCATACAGTATGTGTCTATGTGGCTCAGTGCAGGGCTGGTATTTATAGTTTGCAGCAGAGATGTAATGAAGGACAAACACAGACAGAGCCAGTCAAACCGCCTCTGTGTGTGTGCGCGCGCACTTTAGCCACTCAAATCTAAGTTTAAAGGCAAAGCAGCAAAATTTAAGCAAATGACACTTTGGTTTCATTTAGAGGAGAAATTAATGCTTGTGCGCTGATACTCCAAACATATTTTTTTTTCCACGCTAGTCGCCTTCGATTGATCGCCGTCTTTCGGTGTTATAACTTTTCATCTCCAACCAGCTGCACATCACTGCTGCGCTCATCACTCCTGTATAAATGTGTCCCATCCACTCTGCACGCTGGGAGCATTCTTTATTATTATTATTATTGTTATTATTTTGTGGTCAGAAAGTATTTAGTTGATACTGCTGAGATCATTGCTGGATGAAGGGACTGTCTAGATGGCCTAATTACCCCGTAGCGGCATCACTACAGCAGTCTGCACTGTAACGCTTGGAGGCAATGCTTTGGAGCTTGCTTGCCTGCATGGGAAGATATAGGGCAACAGTCTATGAGGCCCAGATTTTCTCTCTGCACTGACAGAAATATTATATAGGTATGACTGGAATTTGATTCAAGTCCAGCTGTGTTCCTGACATTTAAACAGGGGGATCTGAGTATTGATGGAGTTGGAGTTTAATGTTTTTATTAATTCATTAATTTATTATTTCGCACTACTTTATATATATATATATATATATATATATATATATATATATATATATATATATATATATATATATGTATATAACACGGGTCCTCCTCACCCAAATTTCTTTTAGTACCCACACAATGCGGGAAAGTTTTTGTTGATTGATGGAGCAGAGGTGTTTTGATAAAGGCTTTTGATGGACTAAACATGTTGATGTTTTAGAAGTAGTAAGAGAGGGCAAAGTCTCAAATAATAGCAAACAGATGGTCATTTTATCCACTGGAGTCTGCTATGTAGAACGACTTGTATCTTATTTTTACTATCGGCGCATTTCAAACTGCCGACTTAATAATAAGTAGAGCGGACAAGGCGCAAAAGGTTCCCCTAAAAGACATTTGATACGGCTATTGGCGCAATTGAATTATGTGATTTTCGAAGTTTGCAATGAAGCGCAAAATGGCTAATTGTCGTCAACTCTGACATCAGCCGTCATTTGCAGCTTATCCCCCCCACCGCCTGGCTCTGACCCCCTTTGGGCCCCCTTGCCCATTCAGCAAGCCAGGGCTCAGAAGCCAAGAAAGGTCAATGACTTCACCAAATCGCCCTTGATTACTTGAGACATTAGGTAATCGATTAGAAAACATTAAGTGACTTTGAATAAACAGAGGCACTCCTGATAGGCATTAGAGCTCAATAGATCCACCTCAATATGGCTCATTCACAAAAATGAAAATGAGAGGTGTGTGAACATAAACAGCGCCCACAGTTTTTTTCTGGAATATATATATATATAGTCTTCTTCTATCAAAACATTGAGATGAAACCGAGCTTGTATATCTCCAAATATATGGAAGATGAGCGGATTAAAATTGTATTAATATTTCCCCATTCGGTTAACGCAGTTTATTTTCTAGTTTTAGTCATTCTCCTTCTCTCCCTCTGCCTCTCTCCGTGTCTCTCCCTGAATCCTCTGCAGTCAGCCGGGGGGGAGTGTCGCCCCGGGCCAAACATATGCTTCTTTCCATTGCACTAATCCAAATGCAGCGTGGAGGAATAATTGCTCGAGTGGCCGTGGCTTCGCAGGGGCTTTGTCCCTCACTGGCTCCCGTCAGCCAGGCACACGCCATTTCAATCAACTCTCTCTCGCCCTCTCTCTCTTTCCCGCTCCCTTTCTCTCTCTCTCTCTCTCTCTCTCTCTTTCTCTCTGCATCAACCTCCAGATCTTTTATCAAACCAGACCCTCACGCTTCTCAAGCACAGAGCCACATCCTTTAAAACGCCTTGTTGCCTTGCCTTCATGTTGTTGTTGCTGTCAGGTCATCATATTTGGAGCATCGTCTTCATTAATATTGACAGTGCACCCTGTTGGCAGGCTTTATTGGCAAAAACGGTCGCATGACTACAAATGACGTTTTGGTGAATTCTGTCAGCATCTCACATGATTTTAGTCATTTATTATAATTATTATTATTTTTTACAGTTTCTAAGCAACAAGCATTATCCAGTCAACTAGAGGAAATCATCTCGGCCTTTCAACCAGAAAGTTGACAAGGCTGATTATAAGTTAATGTGATTTGTGGATGACTGAAACCAATAAAAAAAAAGCTTAGCGTAGAAATAATAATAATAATAATAATAATAATAATAATAATAATAATAATAATAATAATAATAATTTGATATTATTTCAAAATAAATCTAAAAATACTATCCAGGGCAGCAGCAAACCATCCCAGTGTGCCAAGTTTTTCGTTCTGACTTTATTGTGGGATTAACAGCAAAATATGATTCGATAAGGACACTGAAATTCATTATTTCCTGTGCTGAAATCACAGACATGCACTTTTTTTTTTTTTTTTACCCCTGTGAGTGGAGAAAGTAAATCAAAATGCACACGGACCTCTGTTATGCCTTGTATACAAACACGCAGAGTTTAAACACCCCATGTCATCGTTTGCCTTTTCTGTTTTCCCCCCAGTGAATCGACGATGAAAAATCACTCTAGTAAAATGGAACATTTGCTAGGAAATCACATATTTCCACGGATAAGAAATGAAATAAGACAGAGGGAGAGGTGGGGTGGGATGGGTAGCGACGGAGAGCCGTGGATGTCTGACTGAATTAATAGACATGATAATTTCACACTATTTCATAGTGAGCTATCTGTTCCATCACAGCAAAATAAAAGGGTCACTGCGCAGCTGTGGCAAACCCCAAGCGTTATTATGAAGTTTGAT